ACTAAGTCAGCGAGCGTGGCCGGTCACGCAAGTGGATATATACACAGAAAACCATGATTTAATGCTGGACACAAATAAACGTGGTTTGCGTTTTAAAGAAATTTTGTATTTATTTTGTCCCTGGAACATGTGGATAATAATGAGAAAAAGGATTTTAAAAAACATTCACAATAAGTTTTCGATCTGGTCGACATCTGCAAAAATATAGAATATGTCAGGGGTCCAACCTGAGTGTGCACTGTCAAAGCTTTCCTCGTAGCAATATTTAATGAACACAGCGTCCCTAGTGTTGAAGGGGCGGTGAGGTAGTCTAGTGGTTAAAGCGTTGGCTCGTCACGCCGAAGACCCGGGTTCGAATCCCCACATGGGTACAATGTGTGAAGCCCATTTCTGGTGTCCCCCGCCGTGATGTTGCTGGAATATTGCTAAAAGCGGCGTTAAACCAAACTCAGTAAGTCAGCCTAGTGTTGAAAGCTATATGTCAAACACGTCTCCTTTACCGCCCTCGGGCTGGAATACACCTTTGATAGTTCCTGAGTAAATATCTTCTGGGTATAATGCCCTTGTTTGTGGGTTTTGTTACGATGTAAAGGTCAGATACTGCAACACATTCAGCTTTCCCACCAATATAATGTGAAAGTGGTGTTAAACCTCATTCACCCACCAAAACATATCGTAATACATATAACTATATACATGTACACACGGAAACAGGGAGTTTTCTCACATGGGTTATCGGAGTTATCTCTTTCTCTACCCGGATCATCACTTTTCTCTCCCACCTCATTAGCACCGACCCCAGATCATATCCATATCTATAATCATTGAACCGTAGCCTGTCTCCTAGACTAATTCTTAGTCCCTGAATATATATAATTTTGATAGTAACAAGCAAGCCCAATTAAATTGAAAAGGAGCCCCAGGGAGACCAGAGATTCAGTCTGAACCTGAGGAAATCTAGACTTGCTTTATTTATGGCTTTAGCACTGAGGAGGGCTAGGCAGTAGGGCAAATAATGTGGTTCAGGGACTGTGAGACAGACCACCTGTCTCCCTGTAGTAGGCAGCAGTCATAGCCCCGTTGGATAAGAACAGCACGAAGTTAATGGACTATGGGATAATGCCCTGGTAGATGAGGGCGTTAAGGGGAAGCTCGTGTGGAACCATTTTGCCAATGTTGGCCACAGGACACATTGAAGAATGGCATTTTAAACTTTACTCTCTAATATCCTGCCATCCAAATGTATTTGACTTTGTGTGAAATGATCACGAGAGAGCAGTCAACGCCTGAAGTGAGGCTTGCTCAGCAGCGTGGACATCAGCGTGAACCATGAAGAAAGAGGAATTAAGTCGAGAAGGGCGAGGACAGTCTAATTAGTGGCAGTCTAATTTGTTCATCTACACCTGCATCGAAAATACGTTGTATTTAATCTTTCACTGTGTTTGTCACTCCTTTCTTCTAATGACGAAATGTGTACACTTATTAACACCCCTCTGAACAAATAGTATGGACTCTACCATATCCAGAACAACCATCCAGCACAACATCCCCACATCACCGAATTAGTTCTCGGTACCAAACGGGTATACCTTGACTGAACCTGAAGGACACCGAGTTATGAAGCGCCCATGCAGATGGTAACTGGCAGTGGGTAACAATATCATTCTGCGATGATATCAGGAGGTGAACACGCTGATTTGTCTGCTTGTTTGGTTACAACCCGGCAGTCCATCTATATGAGGACAGTCTGTAAATGATGGAGTCCAGACGAAACAGTCCAGAGACTTTCATCATAAGCAACGAATCGATCTACAAAATTGACTCGAACAGAACAATGAACATATTTATTCGTATGCTCATATTTACAAGGGGCGGTGGGGTAGTCTAGTGGTTAAAGCGTTGGCTCGTCACGCCGAAGACCCGGGTTCGAATCCCCACATGGGTACAATGAGTGAAGCCCATTTCTGGTGTACCCCGCCGTGATATTGCTGGAATATTGCTAAAAGCGGCGTAAAACCAAACTCAGTCAGTCAGTCATATTTACAAGCATTCAAAAGAGCAAGTACACTACATCATCCAATTGCATCGCATTCATAAACAATTTGGTTATGATATGAATATGTAAAAACACAGTAAAAAGAATTCACCATTAATCTATGATTGATACAAATACAGATCTTTACATTCTAATGTATCAAATAGTAATAACAATGACTGATTCAAATACAACTGTTTACTGTGGACCCGAAGACCCGGGTTCCATTCACCACATGGGTACAATGTGTGAAGCCCATTTCTGGTGTCCCCCGCCGTGACATTGCTGGAATATTGCTGGAATATTGTTAAATGCAGCTTAAAACCATACTCACCCACACACTGTTTTCAAAGCAAACACAGTTGCGGTTTTAAACACCACAGAACATACGCAAGTATACGATGAGTTTGGGGGGCTTTAATCTGTGGGATCTGTCCCTCAACCTCAGGATCATACACAGGGAATCATATTTATGGAATTAGAATAGAAAACCCTGGTATCAATGTGCATCGATTAACAAATTTTCCAAGAATGTGGAAATGAAGTCCAGTGTCATCTACAACATCCTCGAAAAGCTGTAGACTAGCCAAAGTTTGTGTGGAACTAGAACTAGATGGTATTTAGACCATGTAAGAATATGCTCATGCATCATTGCATCTGTCTACAGTTAGAGGTCCCTTGAAGACTATATATGGAGCTGTCAAACCAAGAGTAGACAATAATAGAAAATTATCTTATGATTCTGGTGAGCCTAACGGACAAATCGTACCGCCTTAGAATGAGGGCCGCCATCACATCATCGAGTTAACAAATGTATGTTGTCAATATCCTGATGTTGTAGCCATCATGTTTGAAATTCCACTGAACTTAATCAGAATTAGTCGTCCAGCCAGCATGTTTTCGTTGAGGGCAGTGTGCAGACTGACAGACAGACAGACAGACAGACAGATTTATTTCTGTAGTTCTAGGCCAAAGGCCCATAATACAAAATGCAGACACATTGGTACATCGCATTATACATGCTTGAGTGTATTAGATACCATGCATATAATGGATAAGACATTATGATATCAGATTTCCTTTTTACCTACTTTATGTGACAAGGGAGACGTCCAAGACAAATTATTATGATTATGTTGTTGCATTATGTTGAATTACACATTTTAATATCAGATTGACTTATTACTTTCTTTATATGACAGAGGAAACGCATAATAAAATTCTCAAGACAATAGTTAATATGGATTAGCCTGACAAAATTATCAAGACTGCAGTAACAGGTGTACAGGAAAGAAGGCATTCTTGTCAAAATTTACATGTCTCTCATATGTCAACATATTGATACAAGTGCCGGCAAAGAGGTAACATCGTGTTGTAAATGCTTAACTATTGGTACTGTGAATAAAATAAATAAAACATTTTAATATCAGATTTACTTGTTCCTTTCTTTCTATGACAGAAGAAACGTATGAGGCAAGTTAATGTGTTTATGTTATTACAAGAAGTTAGCATTCTAAAATTTTCAAGACTGGTTAAAAGTGTATATGTCTAATATCTTCATATCTCTCATATATTAAGATATTGATACAGAAATGCAAGTACAATGGTAACATCATATTGTACATGGTATTAGTACTGTGACTATAATGAGTTACAGATTGTAATATCAGGTTTGCTTCTTACGTTCTTTATATGATGGAGGAGACGTCCAAGACAAGATAAAGTGTGTGTGTTGTTACAAGAGATTATCCCAATAAAGGTATCAAAACTGCGATTAGCAAGTGTACATGAAGGAAGGCATTCTTGTCTAATATCTTCATATCTCTCACATATTAAGAGAACAAGGAATTCATCCTCCACTAAATGTAAGCCTTTAGTACAACAATAAGTACAAATCCTGTCAGCATAATTGATGTTTTTTGTGCCTGCCTAACTCAACCGCTAAACGGAAATTATTACACCTAAATTGGGAAATGACATGCTTGTAATAATATGGGATATCTACGCTTAAGTATCTTTCTACATTCAGCAATGACTTAAATTTACTATATACATTACACTTTGATGAATTGGATATTAAAGAAAGTCAGTCTTGACATAGACTGTCATACAACCTTTGTTTGAAAGTAAACATAAATAAATTTACATTACCTACATCTTGGGATAACCACACAATACCAAAACCAAACTGATACAGAATGTTTTTAACAGATGTGGCCCAAGTATTTCTACCAGCTTTACCCAATAACATAAGCATTTGATAACACTGATACGGCAACCTGTGAGTATTTAACTGAAGCAATCTACACCAATATTTGACACATCTAGACATGTACTGATATTGTAGGGGAACTCTGCCACATTCACCCAGCATCATTGCTGGTATATTTACTAACTTTCAAAAACCTTTTACAGAAGTATATTTGAAGTATATCTCTGAGGCATATATGTACACCGAGACAGCATCATGTTGTATAAACATATATTTTTGTAAATATGCATCAATTTAATAATTACAGCTGACCGTATTTTTCAAAATGTTTCATTTGTTACATGATGGCTGTGACCACAGATTCTTTATAAGCTGGCGACATTTAGTGCGGAAAGGGGATTTATGTGTTAAGGTACCAGTACTCGGGACAACAGTTCAAGCTAATCTAATTTCTTGTGTATATTGCTGCGTCAGGGCAAACCATTCACACATGTATATGTCAAATGACTAGGTACTGTAGAAGTCTACGGGGAACAAATTACACTGTACTTGATGGCTGATGAGTGAGTGAGTGAGTTTAGTTTTACGCCGCACTCAGCAATATTCCAGCTATATGACGGCGGTCTGTAAATATTCGAGTCTGGACCAGACAATGTAGTGATCAACAGCATGAGCATCGATCTGCGCAATTGGGAACCGATGACATGTGTCAACCAAGCCAGCGAGCCTGACCACCTGATCCCGTTAGTCGCCTCTTACGACAAGCATGGGTTACTGAAGGTTCATTCTATCCCGGACCTTCACGGGTCTGAAGAAACATGTGGTGATGCTGTTCGTAACTAAGATTGACAACTACGAGCTGTACAAAGCAAACAGGGTTCCGGTTTTAAACACGACAAAACATATTTATCACAAGAAAGTATAAGATGGTCTGTATGATCTGTGCCCTCAAATTCAGGATCATTCATAGCGAATTATATCTGTGGAATAAAATTCGACGACCCTGGTATCAATGTGCATCGGTTGACCAGTTCTCACAGAATGTGGAAACATTACTAAGGTAAATTAAATTCATAACAACGAATTGTAGTTTTCCTAATTTTGTTGTGTTGATCATACAGCAGTTGTTGGGCTGTCGTCCTCATCAGCGCCGACATAAAGGGTGTTTTCCATCATCACTGAAACACACGAGATCATCCATAAACACAAAGCTAATGAACAGACACAAACAGTGACATGAGAATACGATACATGAGAATATGAGACATGAGAATATGCAAAACATAGACAGACAAACAAAGAACCAACAATAACCATAAAAGGCAAATAATCTTTTGTTACAATGCATGGAATACTGTAAGGGTACTTATCGAGGTCTCGTTTCCTCGTGTTAGAAACATTTTGAAAATATTGTACATATGCTAAAGGTGAGAAAATGCGATATTTGGCCAAAATGCATTTCTTCCTGAAGGCCCGTGTGTAGGTGCAAGACATCCACATTAATGCCAGCAGAAACCAAGCACGAGTTTATTATATTTATCAAGGTCGGTATTACTATTACGACTATTACTATGGCTACGCGGCACAGGTGGCCCGGACGTCACAGGAGCAGCAAATTGTCGTGAAGAGTTGCATCCCTGGGGCACCAAGAAACCCATGCTGGATGGTTCGAGTCCCGATTCGTCCTGATTATGTGTCAGCGCCGTTCCAGCTCATGGATTTCACCACATGGCTTGCATGTTCCATGACACACCAACAGTGCAGCCCGTTCCCTCTTTCCCCACATCTGTCCACTTTCCTTGCATCGAAGCGATGACGGAGTTATACGGGAAATTCCGTATCTCATAACACTGAAACGGTGGTGTTCTTCAGTAATAATTCTTTGATCGGCATTCTAGAAGTTGGTGAGTGAATAATAAAGCATACTCGATAATGGTTTAAGAATGTACACCAAAACGTCGCTCTATGCCATAAACAAGACGTTGTCATCCATAAGCTGGTATAGTCGGTATATATCATTTTGGAGTACTTTATTTATAGACAGTAAATCTTGATTTTCTTCATAGCTCTGTGTTCTGATATATCATAAATCAGTAACTGGACCACATGTCTTCATCAAGCAAGGTGCCCAAACATCGAACATGATTTCGTTTGCTATCGCTATGTGATAATATATCAACCTTTTTCATCGCCGTCTTGATCTTTGTCCATTGCGCCTGATTCATAGAGAATATTGTCCATCATTTCTGCAACAAGAGTGTGGATAAACAATGACAATTACAGCATCAATTAACACAATTACCCACAATAACATTGGGTGACAGACGGGGAAAAGACGCAAAACCCTTCCCACATCCATAAGAAATCTCTGGAGTCAATTGTCCAATTCCGACTACATCATGACTACATCACAACACCAGAAAGTTCTGGGTGACCGCCATAGAACAACTTTAACAATGCTCCTCCTATATTGCTTACTGTTGTAGATGGAGAGAACAACATGCCAGCTAACCCTCTTCACGGGCACCTGCTGCACATACAACAGTATGGAGACGCCACATAGTATAGGATTCCAATATTTGTTTAATAAGTATGGTGTCAATTATACCAAAAACGTATATATCGTCAAACAGGGTTGTATCGAACATACGTTTGTATCGAAATGAAAGCTTGGTCCTGCCTTGTCCTACGTTAATCAATATTTTGCAGTTGTGTCGAGTCTTTGATAACTCGAAGTTTTATTTCTACTTCGACACAACTGTGTTTGGCTATGTATTTAACACGCAGTTTTGTGCAAAAACAAATAAGAAAAAAATGGCTGAAAACCCAGCGAAGTGCAATATGCGCCTTTGGACTTTAAGTGCTTGAATACAAACCAGATTCAGAATAACTGACGGATGTAGAGCACGTTCTACCAAACAGATCAGTGTATCCTTACAAAGCAAATTAAACAACTGATTTCAGGTCACATTTAATATTCCTGTTCGTATCAACCAAATACTTCCGTCCTCCATTTAACATTAAACAGTGAAATTTAATTCTCCGACTTACCTATTTTGTCTCCTCGACTCGATCCAGTTGAGCTTAAAGGCAAAAAAATAATTTGATCATATTAAGTTTTAACCTAACAAGAGAGAGAGAGAGAGAGAGAGAGAGACAGACAGACAGACAGACAGACAGAGGGAGAGAGGTGGAGATCACACTTTCTAATTATTACATAAACCATTCTAGTAATGTACCTATTTTGTCTCCCCCACTCGATCCAGTTGGGCTTAAAGGCAGAACATTGGGTTTGATTATATTAAGTTTTAACCGAACAAGAGAGAGAAAGACCAGTAATGTATCAAGTATGTCGTGGCAGAAATAAATAGGGTTGTGTTTGTTTGCTTGCTGTTGAACGCCGCACTCAGCAATATCAGTGCTGTATGGCGGCGGTCTGTTTGGACCAGACAAACCAGTGTCTGACGTATTGAGCATCGATCTACGCAATGTGAATACGATGACACGTGTCAACCAAGTCAGCAAGCGTGATCCCCCGATCCCGTTAGTCACGTCACGACAAGCATGGAGCTGGGGTGTGACTGGGTGTGTGACTATATCAGTATGATCATGTAAACCATGGCGTACTAGCAGACATTTCACAGACGTTGACATCCCTCGACTATCACTGATTGGTTCAGACATACGGGGTACCAGAAGCCCACTCTGACACGGGATCCATACTATATCCTTGGACCTATATACTATACAATAACTTAGGGTATAATGGAAGAACTAGTTTAATGGGAATAGGCACTATTACTGACCGTTATTTTCAAATCAAATTCAACTTGAACCAAACTAATCCTAGGAATGTAAAGAACAGCATCACCAAAGGTAATGGTTTCAGTGAGTGAAGTGAGTTTAGTTTTACGCCGCACTCAGCAATATTCCAGCTATATGGCGGCGGTCTGTAAATAATCGAGTCTGGACCAGACAATCCAGTGATCAACATCATGAGCATCGATCTGTGCAATTGGGAACCGATGACATCTGTCAACCAAGTCAGCGAACCTGACCACCCGATCCTGTTTGTCGCCTCTTAAGACAAGCATGGGTTACTGAAGATCAATATTCTAACCCGGACCTTCACGGGTAGTAATGGTTTAAGATGTATACTAGTAACTTTAGATAAGCATCATCCTCGGCATATTGTCTTGAGGAAAGCATATGCTTACCTTTCAGCAACGGCTTTATTTTGCTCTGAAGATGAGATAAAAAACACTTTAGTATAGTTCCTGTCCATGACAGGTTGATAAACAGAGAGGACACGCTGTAGATTGTGTCCATATACTGGTAGAGAAAACATCATTTCATTGAGAGTGACAGCGTATAATGAGACGAAGTTTATCGAAATGAAAACGAACATTTTTTTCTGAATGTTGCTGTATATAGAGCAGCAGCTGCATGAGTTGTAGCTTATGAGCATGAATTTGGAGCTAACGACAAAGGATCAAGTCAAAACTAAACTGTGTTGGTTATCACGAAAAACATGTTTTGTTTAATAGCACTTGTTTTTTATGCGGCAACAATATATTACACCAGATGTGCACTTTCTCTTGTATATAAGACACATATTGTAAGAGAGAATAACGTGTTTATCGAATGAGCATCCGCGATTGATGAAGCGTATTAGTTTTACAACGACATGGCCTTCAAGCTGCAGACAGACTGAATCATCATGTTCAACTGGAATCAGGCATACAACGTTTGTACATGTCTATTCTGTCAGGGCTTTCGCTGCGTTCTCAGCACACAAACCCGGTCTAATGTATTTTGTTTATGTTACATTTGTCCACTAGATATTTCTATACGGCCAATTCACCTTAGATGCTGTTTTACCTTCTAGTGTGTTTGACTTCCTCTTTCTCTGTACAGCCACAACAAGGATGACGGCAGCGAGTACGACTACAACAACGCTGCAACCAATGGCGATGTACAAGACGTTGGTGTCGGTATTAGGTGAGCCTGTAACACGATGTTATGTATGTTAGGATCAAGTGAGCCTGTAACACAATGTTATATATGTCAGTATCAGGTGAGCCTGAATAACACGATACTATATATGTTAGTATCAGGTGAGCCTGTAACACGATGTTATCTATTTAGGTATCAGGTGAGCCTGTAACTCGATGTTATATATGTCGGTATCAGGTGAACCTGCAACACGATGTTATATATGTCAGTAACAGTTGAGTCTGTAACTTGATGTTATATATGTTAGCATCAGGTGAGCCTGTAATACGATGTTATATATGTCGGCATCAGGTGAGCCTGTAACACGATGTTATCTATTTCGGTATCAGGTGATCCTGCAACACGATGTTATATATGTCGGCCTCAGGTGAGTCTGTAACACGATGTGATATATGTTAGTATCAGGTGAAAATGTAACACAATGTCATATATGTTGGTATCAGGTGTGCCTGCAACACAATGTTATATATCTTAGTGTCAGGTGAGTCTGTAACACTATGTTATATATGTCGGTATCAGGTGAGTCTGTAACACGATGTTATATAAGTTAGTATCCGGTGAAAATGTAACACGATGTCATATATGTTGGTATCAGGTGTGCCTGTAACACAATGTTATATATCTTAGTGTCAGGTGAGTCTGTAACACGATGTTATATATCTTAGTGTCAGGTGAGTCTGTAACACTATGTTATATATGTCGGTATCAGGTGAGTCTGTTACACGATGTTATATAAGTTAGTATCCGGTGAAAATGTAACACGATGTCATATATGTCGGTATCAGGTGACCCTGTAACACAATGTTATATATGTCGGTATCAGGTGACCCTGTAACACAATGTTATATATGTCGGTATCAGTTGAGCCTGTAATACGATGGTATATATATTATCATTAGGTGAGCCTGTAACATGATGTTATATATGTCGGTATCAGGATACCCTGTAACACGATGTCATATATGTATGCATCAGGTGACCCTGTAACACGATGTTATATATGTCGGTATCAGGTGACCCTGTAACACGATGTTATCTATTTTGGTATCAAGTGAGCCTGTAACACGATGGCAAATATTTCGGTATCAGGAGACCCTGTAACACGATGTCATATATGTTCGTATCAGGAGACCCTGTAACCCGAAGTCATATATGTATGTATCAGGAGACCCTGTAACACGATGTCATATATGTTCGGATCAGGAGACCCTGTAACGCGATGTCATATATGTTAGTATCACGTGAGCCTGTAACACGATGTTACATATGTCAGTATGAGGTGAGCCTGTAACACTATCTTATATATTTCGATATCAGGTGAGCCTGTAACACGATGTTATATATGTCGGTATCAGGTGAGCCTGCAACACGATGTTATATATGTCAGTAACAATTGAGTCTGTAACTCGATGTTATATATGTCGGCATCAGGTGAGCCTGTAACACGATGTTATATATGTCGGTATCAGGTGAGCCTGTAACACGATGTCATATATGTTCGTATCAGGTGACCCTGTAACACGATGTTACATATGTCAGTATGAGGTGAGTCTGTAACACGATGTTATCTATTTCGGTATCAGGTGAGCCTGTAACTCGATGTTATATATGTCGGTATCAAGTGAGCCTGCAACACGATGTTATATATGTTAGTATCAGGTGAAAATGTAACACAATGTCATATATGTTGGTGTCAGGTGTGCCTGCAACACAATGTTATATATCTTAGTGTCAGGTGAGTCTGTAACACGATGTTATATATGTCGGTATCAGGTGAATCTGTAACACGATGTTATATATGTTAGTATCAGGTGAAAATGTAACACGATGTCATATATGTTAGTATCAGGTGAGCCTGTAACACGATGTTATCTATTTAGGTATCAGGTGAGCCTGTAACTCGATGTTATATATGTCGGTATCAGGTGAACCTGCAACACGATGTTATATATGTCAGTAACAGTTGAGTCTGTAACTTGATGTTATATATGTTAGCATCAGGTGAGCCTGTAATACGATGTTATATATGTCGGCATCAGGTGAGCCTGTAACACGATGTTATCTATTTCGGTATCAGGTGATCCTGCAACACGATGTTATATATGTCGGCCTCAGGTGAGTCTGTAACACGATGTGATATATGTTAGTATCAGGTGAGTCTGGTAACACAATGTCATATATGTTGGTATCAGGTGAGCCTGCAACACAATGTTATATATCTTAGTGTCAGGTGAGTCTGTAACACTATGTTATATATGTCGGTATCAGGTGAGTCTGTAACACGATGTTATATATGTTAGTATCCGGTGAAAATGTAACACGATGTCATATATATGTTGGTATCAGGTGAGCCTGTAACACAATGTTATATATCTTAGTGTCAGGTGAGTCTGTAACACGATGTTATATATCTTAGTGTCAGGTGAGTCTGTAACACTATGTTATATATGTCGGTATCAGGTGAGTCTGTTACACGATGTTATATAAGTTAGTATCCGGTGAAAATGTAACACGATGTCATATATGTCGGTATCAGGTGACCCTGTAACACAATGTTATATATGTCGGTATCAGGTGACCCTGTAACACAATGTTATATATGTCGGTATCAGTTGAGCCTGTAATACGATGGTATATATATTATCATTAGGTGAGCCTGTAACATGATGTTATATATGTCGGTATCAGGATACCCTGTAACACGATGTCATATATGTATGCATCAGGTGACCCTGTAACACGATGTTATATATGTCGGTATCAGGTGACCCTGTAACACGATGTTATCTATTTTGGTATCAAGTGAGCCTGTAACACGATGGCAAATATTTCGGTATCAGGAGACCCTGTAACACGATGTCATATATGTTCGTATCAGGAGACCCTGTAACCCGAAGTCATATATGTATGTATCAGGAGACCCTGTAACACGATGTCATATATGTTCGGATCAGGAGACCCTGTAACGCGATGTCATATATGTTAGTATCACGTGAGCCTGTAACACGATGTTACATATGTCAGTATGAGGTGAGCCTGTAACACTATCTTATATATTTCGATATCAGGTGAGCCTGTAACACGATGTTATATATGTCGGTATCAGGTGAGCCTGCAACACGATGTTATATATGTCAGTAACAATTGAGTCTGTAACTCGATGTTATATATGTCGGCATCAGGTGAGCCTGTAACACGATGTTATATATGTCGGTATCAGGTGAGCCTGTAACACGATGTCATATATGTTCGTATCAGGTGACCCTGTAACACGATGTTACATATGTCAGTATGAGGTGAGTCTGTAACACGATGTTATCTATTTCGGTATCAGGTGAGCCTGTAACTCGATGTTATATATGTCGGTATCAAGTGAGCCTGCAACACGATGTTATATATGTTAGTATCAGGTGAAAATGTAACACAATGTCATATATGTTGGTGTCAGGTGTGCCTGCAACACAATGTTATATATCTTAGTGTCAGGTGAGTCTGTAACACGATGTTATATATGTCGGTATCAGGTGAATCTGTAACACGATGTTATATATGTTAGTATCCGGTGAAAATGTAACACGATGTCATATATTGTTGGTATCAGGTGTGCCTGCAACACAATGTTATATATGTTAGTGTCAGGTGAGTCTGTAACACGATGTTATATATGCCGGTAACAGGTGAACCTGTAAGACGATGTTATATATGTCGGCATCAGGTGAGCCTGTAACACGATGTTATATATATCGGTATCAGGTGATCCTGCAACACGATGTTATATATGTCTGTAACAGGTGAGTCTGTAACACGATGTTATATATGTCGGCATCAGGTGAGCCTGTAACACGATGTTATATATATCGGTATCAGGTGAGCCTGCAACACGATGTTATATATGTCGGTAACAGGTGACCCTGTAACACGATGTTATATATGTCTGTTTCAGGTGAGTCTGTCACTTGATGTTATATATGTTAGCATCAGGTGAGGCTGTAACACGATGTCATGTATGTCGGTAACAGGTGAGTTAGTAGCACAATGTTATATATGTCGGAAACAGGTGAGTTAGTAACACAATGTTATGTATGTAAGTTTCAGATTAGCCTATAACACGATGTTATATATGTCGGTATCAGGTGAGTCTGTAACACGATGTTAAATATCTTAGTATCAGGTGAAAATGTAACACGATGTCATATATGTTGGTATCAGGTGTGTCTGCAACACAGTGTTATATATCTTAGTGTCAGGTGAGTCTGTAACACGACGTTATATATGTCGGTATCAAGTGAGTCTGTAACACAAGGTTATATAAGTTAGTATCCGGTGAAAATGTAACACGATGTTATATATGTTCTCATCAGGTGAAGATGTAACACGATGTCATATATGTCGGTATCAGGTGACCCTGTAAGACAATGTTATATATGTCGGTATCAGGTGACCCTGTAACACAATGTTATATATGTCGGTATCAGTTGAGCCTGTAATACGATGGTATATATGTTATCATTAGGTGAGCCTGTAACACGATGTTATATATGTCGGCATCAGGAGACCCTGTAACACGATGTCATATATGTTCGCATCAGGTGACCCTGTAACACGATGTTATCCATTTCTGTATCAAGTGAGCCTGTAACACGATGTTATATATGTTAGTATCAGGTGAAAATGTAACACGATGTCATATATGTTGGTATCAGGTGTGCCTGTAACACAATGTTATACATCTTAGTGTCAGATGTGTCTGTAACACAATGTTATATATGTTAGTATCAGGTGAAAATGTAACACGATGTCATATATGTCGGTATCAGGTGACCCTGTAACACAATGTTATATATGTCGGTATCAGGAGACCCTGTAACACAATGTTATATATGTCGGTATCAGTTGAGCCTGTAATACGATGGTATATATGTTATCATTAGTTGAGCCTGTAACATGATGTTATATATGTCGTTATCAGGAGACCCTGTAACACTATGTCA